TCTTTTAACAGTTTTGAAAATTATACCCTTAGTACTTACTGCCGTCCCACGCCTTGACCTTCTGATTGCCACTCTCTGACCCTAGTGTGACTCAAGCCTGGTAATGATCGTTGATCTCTGACCCCAGCCTGGCTCTGACTCTGCCTCTTCCCTCTGATTCCTGCCTGGTAACTGTCTCTGATGTCTGGGCTCTGGCCCTCTTGCCTACTGAGCCTAGCGCTAGTGATTTCACTGATCCCAGCTCACTGACTACTGCCTCATGGCCACCCTCGACTTGTGGACCCCAGCCCAGCCATGACCATTAGGCCAGATTGCCTATGCCCTGGTCTGTTACCCTAGGTTTACTCCTCCAACTAGTGTCTATCTTACCTATGCTACATCACTTGACATTTTGGACTGTCTATGCCTACAATTCTTACCTCCATGCAATCCCATTGACCTCAGTGAAATTATTAGTCAAATGACAGTATTGCCAACCCCAAGCATTTAAAGGCAGCCCACCCTCCTGTTATACCAATAAAATAAAAACCAGCAGGATCTTATTAAAGGGGAAAAGGCAAAATACCACATTTATTGTGAATACAGAAAGAATCATAATAAGCAGTTACTTATAGCTATAACATTCCATTCAATCTCATATTTATTCACACATTCATTCATTCACACACACACACACACACACACACACACATTCTGCAAGGTTGTTATCATAGTTACCAGCCTAGAAGTTGCTCGTGACAGAGTACTGGCCAGGTAGCCTGTACACGAGAGTGGAGCCGAGTCCGTGTCAGATGCACATCTGATGCTCCTGGAAGTTGGTTTGCAGAATCAGACCCCAAAGTTCTCAATTTCCAGAGTCCATTTTTATAGGAATTTCTTCCTATGCCAGTCTATGGGAATTGCTTCATCATGCTGTTGCTGAATCAATCAGCAGATAGCACATTCCTGACGGCTCCGTGCTGCTAGATGTTATCTTGTTCATTGGTTCTCCCATTCTTGAGGCTGTTGGGTGGATTCCAGTCTGCCCTCCTGGGGTCTTCTGGTTATTTCCACTTGACGCCTTCTTCAGCCGATGGACATTGGATTCCTAGGCTGGCACCTCCCTGATCATTCAGTTATTATCCACACCAAGCATCCATCCACATACATCCTCTATCTCTATTTTAATCACAATTGTTAACAAAGGAAGATGAATACAACAAAAGGGCGGGGAGTCTCTGGGTGCTGTTTCTGTTGTTTCAGAGTATTGCTTTGAGTTTCTCTCTTTGTGAGTAGTTGTTATTACAAAGAATTGCTTTGAGAACAGACTCTGTCTTAGAATGTACTAACGCAATTAGCAGCTTGCAAGTTTCACACATAGAGGGAGAGAAACAGCACCAAAAACCAAGAGACCTCTTAATTAGTAATACCCTGGAAATTAAACTATGGGGAATCAAACTCATTTGTGATTTTAATACAAAACTTCTTTAATATGATCCAACACTCCCCTGCCCCCCCCCCCCCAAGCCCCAAATAACTGGCTTTAAAAAATCATGAGAGTTTTAAGAAAACTAATAAAATGTGGGTTTGTTTTATTTGCCTGCTGCTGGAGCCTCTAAAAGACACTTGGGTCATGTTTCTGAGATTGTTTCCCCAACCGTGCGGTCTAAAAACATACTTTTTTTAAAACATGGAAGTGGAGATTTTCACAAGCTCTGTTCATTGCAGCAGCTGGGACTGTAAGACAGTCAGCAAGCACCAGGAAATGCTATAAGCAACACTTTGTGAGTAAAGAATACGCCTTTGAATTGCGTCTCCAGATCCAGGCCCAGGCCTTAAATCCTGCAACAGGATGCATGTGGGCAGACACCCTTATGGTTGGATGGATCCAACTGCAGGTTCAGGACCTTAGCCTGTGAGCTTCTTGGGGTAGGCATAATACTTTCTTTTAAGGTGTGTAAAATGCCAAGACCATTGACAATGTTCATTAAATAGCATTGTTCGTCGGGCGGGGGAGTGTGGGGGAAGGGATTACCGTGTCTTGGGTGTCAAAACTGCCACATAAATCTGTATGAATGGTGAGTTTCTTTCAGTAAGATTGTCTGCAACATTCTCTGCTAAGTGAGTTCTGTGTCAAACGGATTATTTTAAAATTATGGGCTTGCAAACGTTCAGCTGGATAGTTCTCGGGTGGTTGAGGTGTCCATTGAAGAATTTAAATGATGTAATAGCTATTGAACACCCCATTATATGGCTGCTTAATTAATGTAAATGATAGTTATGCCTCACTCACAGAGGATTATTTTACACAGAGGAAAATCTACTCACTGCCACAGTAGCCATTTCAATAGGTTTTATAGGAGCAGTTGCATTATGGCTTCATTGAGTAAAAGGTAAGTAGCCATCCTAAATAATGAAGATGGAAGGTTTAATAGTGCCAATAAAGGATTCCACAGTTTTTTTATTTCAAAAATTAGAGTTTGATTGCAACACTATGATAATGAGCGGGGAAAGCGGCATTGGCACATGGAGTCCTTCTGGAGGCTGGGGAGCTCGGGAACGGATTTTCATTTATTCTGTATGGAAATGAAGAAGGAGAGGAAAAACAGAAAACCAAATTAAATTGTTCTTTATCGTGCACAATATTGGGCCCCATCCTGCCTTGCTGGGGAAAAACTCCCATTGAACTGAAGGAGTAAGGAGTGCTGGATCTCACCCTTTATATTCAGCCGCAAAAAAAATCACTTGTTGCTTTGAAGCTAGCGTGCACACACGCGCACCCACCCACACACACACTCTCTCTCTCTCTCTCAAGTTCTGGCCTAACCCCAATAAAGTGATGAAATTGAGAGTTAAGTCGGCCTTGCACTCAGCTATCATTCTATTTTGTCCTGGTATTGCAGCTCATTAGTGCGACATTTTTTGCAAGGCTATAGTCAAGGGACTCGACATTTCTGTTCTAAAACCCTGTTTTCAGGTTTATATATCACAGGTTATAGCAGCTATAAAAATTCAGATGAGATTAAAACGTGGCATATGAGTGCTCAGCCCACGAGCTAACATTCTTAAAACAAATCCTTGCTTGCAAATATACAAGTTTACTTATTTTATATACTTTTTTGATCTCTATTACTAAATAATAGTGTCTCTCTGTTTCGTGTCTTATGCAGCACCCACTACTACAATATTTGAGCACTTTATTTTTAAGGGTGGTATTTTTAGACCACTAGGGCTAGCTCAGGTACGAAAATTTCTTTGATATTTGCATCTCAAAACAGCAAATGTTCAATGAGGGTTTATTTTTAAAAGCGCGACCGTGCATGAGCAGCCAGTTTGGGGGCCACAGAGCACCACACTCACACCATTACCAAAGACACTTTGTGCTCATACATAGCTGCTCAGTGGAGCCGGAACATGCCAGAACAGTGTTCTGATCTGCTGGAGCAACGTCCATGAGACAATATGGTCAGTGGTTTGCAAATTAAAACCTCCTCAATTAAAATCTCCAGGTGATTTTTGATTTTATCGAACACACTCTAGCTCACGTGTGTAGAGTCCGCCCCCATCCCAAATGATTTTTGAGGGTTGGCAAAAGATGCCAGCTTATTTGAATTCTGGGCTAGGGTTGATGAAGCCCACAAGCACTAAAGACCTCCATAGGCCCAGAAATCAAGTAATTGCTTCCCACAACAAATGGCTAAATGGAGCTGGGGGAAAGGTTGGAGGTTGAAAATGAGGGACCTGGAAGGGGCCATTGAGCAGAGAATGCCCAGCACTCTGCGAAGGAGTTCAGGGAGACATTGGACACCACCCAGAAGAACTCTGCCTGAATGTATTAAACAGAGTAGGGAGCGAAAGGTGCCAGAATGAAAGACCTAGAGACTGTCGTCCTCTGTTTATCCCCACAGAACAATAACAGCACAGGCAAACCAAGCTTCTGCCCCGCTAATGAGCCTCAGCCTTGATTTAGAAGGGCCACACTAAAGGGTAAGAAGGTCATTCACTCTCCATTCTCATTCAGTCCATGGCCACTCTGCTGAGACTGTGAACAAAGGTACCACTTGGAGCCTGCTGTGAAGGAGATTTTTGTGATATGGATGCCTGGCCCCCTGGCAACTGAGCTGAACTAAACATACTTTTTTCACATTGGCCTCCAAACTGCCACCCTAATAGAAAAGCTCCGCATTTTAACAGCTCATTATCTTGGTCAATGGGCAGTTTGCCCAAGTAAGGACAGCAGTATTGGAGCCATAAAATTTATGTTCCTTCACCTCCTTTCGCATAGTTCTTTTACTTTTCTGTATATATCCCATATATCCTAGAATTAATAGGTCCCATATATCCTAAAACTAATCTCCAGCGAAAACACAGACAAGATGTCTTTAAAAAAAAAACCCAGTAAGTAAAGCAGACGCTCTACATTTTTCATCACATAGTTTGCAGTGTGACATTTCTTGTTGGTAATCACTTGCAAATAGGATTAGAACCACATATTTTCCACAATATTGTGTATAAAATACAGCTAGTTTTGTTTCCACTGTTATAATTGTACTAAAGGCCAATTGTTTATGATCTTAGGGATCCTACTGAAAACCTAGAGCTTTGATTAGAGATGATAAACGTAATGCTCCACTTAATGAAATGAGGAGGCTACTGCATCAGAGACAGATTTAAGCTCTTCATGCGTGTGTGATAGAATTTCCTTACTCTTAATGTAAAATAAATGACTAAGGTGAACAAAATTATCAAGCATATTGATTAATCGCTACTAACAAGAGTGATACACACTGGATTGACATTTATTATCTGGTGAAGGAAAACAGTGCTCAAATATTTTGTAAGGGAATACCGCTATTTATTTTTTCTTTGGGGTCTGGCAGCTGCATTGCTGCCAGTCTGCCTCACAGAGTCATCCACATCTTCCACTACTACAATTTCCCACTGATGTTCTTGTGATGACATAATAAATTTGTAAGTCTCTAAGGTGCCTCAAGTACTCCTGTTTTTTTTTGCGGATATAGACTAACATGGCTGCTACTCTGAAACCTGATACAATAAACTGAAGACACCTAGAAAAGGACATGAGGGGCGGAGCAGGACCAAGGTATTTGAGAAGTCTGTGGCTACATTACAGACACAATATGAGCCCCTGAACTGGGATTAGGTTTGGAGGTAGTACTCTATTGAAAGTGGCCAAAGAAATGATTTTGTAGACTATTGGGTTTTTTTTTTTCAGCTATCTAGTGGGTCCAGCGCTTTATGCTTGTCTTCCCAAAGCCATTTTTCCCTACATGCAGCAGACTGGGCTGCAGCATCAAGAAACCCAAATATCAAAACTTGGGTCTTGGTTTTGCATAGTGGAAATCGGAAGCTAGTGGAGCTGTGTAATAATGATGTACATGACATCGGAATCAATCAGCTTCCTGGGCCAACATTTTCAAACTCAAGTGACTAATGTTAGGTGCCCAACTTTAGGTACCCAAATTTGAAAGTTTCAGCCCTAGTCTTTTAAACCAAGGTATTAGGACAGACTCAGTCAGTAATAAGCCCCTCATCCTGCACTGATTCATCTTGTGTTGCCATTTGTACATGTGCAAAGAGTATGTATAACACTATCATTCTGATTTGCACTCACCTTGCAGTTGTGTAAATGATGACACAAGCTGCAAGGCTGTGAATATCTGTGTATAATCATCTCACACTAACAGTTTTATAATCATGTTTTCGATCGTATGGGTTTCTCAGTGGCGTCCCATTTTTAACTTTTTGCTAACAGAAAAATACATTATAACTATTACCTCTCTGCTTATTCTGATCTATATTTTAACAAGTATGGTACATTCTTGCATTAGTACCAGAAGGTGGCGCAAGATCCTCACAAAGTGATTTGCTCTAGCAATAACCACACATAATCTACAGGCCAGATTTAAAAAGGGGTTTTATTAATGAGTTAGGGTAACCCACTAGGTAGAAAACAGTTCCTTGTTACCACAGTAGACACACATCTGATGGTCAAGCCCAGCGTGAAGGTAGCTGCTGGATGTGGTGCAGGTTTTCTACATCAAATAATATTTAAACATTATTGGGCATCCAATCTGAAAAAAGTCATTAAAAAAATCACCAAAAAGGCCATAACTCAAAGAACCATAGTCTAATTTTGACCAGAAAGCTTCTAAATACAATTGATAATGCAACTATGTATTCAAAATGGCAGGGTTTGGGAATGCTTGGGAAATATTTAGGCCCAGGTGATATGGTTTATGTATTTACCCAGTGCTTTTTTTGCCTTTGGTTAAAGCAAATGTCTGTAGTCACATGACAGGATAAGCTTGATAGTCAGGGAGCAGTATACCGGACTGCCAGACACATCAGTGGTATATGGCATGATATGGCCATCTCGAGCAAGCTCTCAACAAAGACTGTGAGAAGACAAAAGATAAGGCTCTGACCAAGTATTACCTGACTATACATTTTAAGGCAGCTGTATCAGCAACAACAAAGGGCCTGACTGCAGCTGAAATTGCTGTCCAGCTAGTATAAAAGTTGTGACTGAAAGAATGCTAAAGCCTTTTATCATTGAACCTGGAAGAAGTCCAGACAACAGACACTTGTGAACATTGCAACATCTACTGTGGGCCCACCTGAAATTGCAGAAAGTTGCAGAAATGCATCATGGACTGTGAAATCTGGTCTTTTGTGTGCTTTTACACTATACTATACAGATTTTTAGGGGGAGACCAGCGTTTCTCAAATTGGGGGTCCTGATCCAAAAGGGAGTTGCAGGGGGTCACAAGGTTATTTTAGGGGGGTTATGGTATTGCCACCCTTACTTCTGTGCTGGCTTCAGAGCTGGGTGTCCAGGAGAGGGGCAGCTGTTGGCTGGGTGCCCAGCTCTGAGTGCAGCACCCCGCCAGCAGCAGGGTAGAAGTAAGGGTGGCAAAACCGTACCAGGCCACCTTCATTTCTGCGCTGCTGCGTTCAGAGCTGGGCGGACAGACAGTGGCAGCTGCTGACTGAGGGCCCAGCTCTGCAGGTAGCAGCACAGAAGTAAGGGTGGCGATACAATGCCAGGCCATCCTGACTTCTGCGCTGCTGCTGGCGGTGGCTCTGCTTTCAGAGCTGGGCTCCCGGCCAGCAGCCGCCGCTCTCCAGCTGCCCAGCTCTGAAGACAGCGCAGCCACCAGCAGCAGCGCAGAAGTAAGGGTAGCTGTACTGCAACCCCCCCAATAACCTTGAAACCCCACCCATGACTCCTTTTTGGGCCAGGACCCCGACAATTACAACACCATGAAATTTCAGATTTAAATAGCTGAACTCATTAAATTTACTATTTTAAAAATCCTATGATCATGACATTTACCAAACTGGACTGTGAAGTTGGTAGGACAATATGCATTGCATTGCATTTACTGTACATTGCCCCACATGTTTGGGGATTGGTTTGGTTACTTTGCAGGAATCAATCCCTGTACAGCATACTCTGTCCACGCATTGTTCATGTACAACTTACTTTTTATGCCATCTTTGCATTCCTGATTTCTCTTAGCCATTGTATTTTGTCCATTGTAAATGGTTCCCTGAGGGTTCCCCATTATTTTAGCTAGTGCAGACATTCTGTTTCCAGCTTGCTGATCCATTTACTTCCCTAATCCTGTCTCCCTAGAAATGAGGCCTCATCCATGTCCAATTACTCATGTCAAACCAGGCCTACCGTGAGAAGCAAACATCTCTGGTTAATGTGCGTTATGAGTTGTTTGCTAAGAAGAGCAAAAGAAGTGAGAAACTGCCACCAACAATGGTGTCCTTCAGGCACCACCTGAAACACGCCCATTATCAGTCATACATATGGAATTATGCAACCAATCAGTAGCGTCAAGTGTCATGGATCAATAACAGATGAGTGTCAAATAGCACAGGATGTCTTGTTCCTAAAATGACGTTGCTGTCACAGGCTCCAGAAGCCGTTCGCCCCTTGGTGCGGTGTAGCTGTGAGAGAACCTGTGCAACAGGGAGATGCAAATAGTGCAGGGAAGAGGGGGTGTGCTCCCATACTTGCAACTGTGACACTGGCATGTGTAGCAACAGGGTGTTGAGCACATTAGACACAGATTCTGAGGGGGGAGAAGAAATGTTTCAAATATCTGCAAATTACGCGGACTGTTTTTAAGAGTACATATAGCTCAAAGATGTGTTGCATTAGATATTCAGTAGCTCATAGTTATATGCAGGGTTACATAACAATACATAGCTCTACTTTGTTATTCACACTACATATTCATACAAGACATTCTACAGCCCTTCTGCTAAAAGTCATTACTGTTATATAAGTCGGTTACAGGTATTGTCATTGTATTCAGTGATAGTAAGAAGATAATTACAGTTGTGCTGTATGTGATTTCGACCTATGTATCCGGTGGAGCAGATAACATCAAACTATATGTTTTATAATTAGGGGTAGGGGTCTTATTAGCTGCACAATTTCATAAAAATAGTAGACAGAAAAACCTCTCAAATCATTCCATTCTACAAATAATAGCAAATATTTCAATGTATTACAGACTCATAGTATCATGTGATTACATCTTTTGCTTTAACTGAAGGCAAAAATGTGGGAACATGCATAAAATATATCACCCGGGGCTATATATTTCCCAAACTTTCCTATTGTCCTATTTTGAGTATACAAATTGCATTATCAATTGTATTTAGAAGATTTGTGCTAACTTTGGTCAAAATTAAACCACATTTCTGTAAATTATGGCCCCTTCTGTGATTTTATGATTTTTTCAAATTAGTTAAACATTACATGATATTAAAAAAAAACCCCTGCACCACTTTCAGCATCTACATCCACCTTGGGGATGATCACCAGATATGTGTCATGTGGTAGCAATGAAATTTTTCCAGCTGATGGGTGTCCCAAATGGGTCCCAGCTGGTAGACTAACAGAGGAAGAGAGACACTGCTGCAGTGTAGGAAAAATGTTCCATCATCTTACATGGACTTACTTAGCTACTTTACTGCACTTACATCTATGGCCAGTCTGCTGAATGTTATATCCTACTGCCAGTTGCTTTTCTTTACTGTTTCTATCACAATTGAGTTTTTCTTATTGCAAATATGTTTTCTAAATCAATGGTTCTCATCCAGGGGTCCGAAGCCCCCTGGAGGGCCACGAGTAGGTTTCAGGGGATTACCAAGCAGGACCAACGTTAGACTCGCTGCAGCCCAGGAAAGAAACCCAAAGCCCTGCTGCATGGGGTTGAAGCCCAAGCCCTGCCACCTAGGGCTGAAGCTGAAGTCTGAGGAATGTAGCTTCGTGGGGGCTCCTGTGGCATGAGGCCCCCGGCAAGTGTCCTGCTTTCTAGCCCCTAACTCTGCTCCTGGCTTTTGTATGCAGAAAATCAGTTATTGTGGCCCAGGTGGGCCGCAGACTTTTTATAGCATGTTGGGGGGGGCCTCAGAAAGAAAAAGGTTGAGAACCCCCATTCTACATCACTGTCCTCATCAATATGAAAATTGGATACAGAGCCAAACCAAGTCAAGCATTTTCAGTTACATGCAGGCTCTTTGCCTAGTCACGGCACGAACCAACAGTCGAAAGGCTAAAGCCAAGATAACTCTCAGCTCCCCAGACAGGCATCCCCCACCCCCGAAGCATAAACCCAAAATTGTACCGTCTTGCACTGCATAGGGAATTGTACAGCACAAGCTCATACAGTTCGTCTCCTCATACAGTGGAGAGGAATATGCAACAGCCTCTCTGACCTAATATTCCCAAGCACTTCACGCCAACTCACTGGTTTAGATGAAGCAAAAACAAGTTTATTCATTACAAAAGATAGATTATAAGTGATAGCAAACAGATCAAAGCAGATTACCTAATAAATAAACAAAAATGCAAACTAAGTCTAAGATACTAGAAAGATAGGATATGAATTAGCAAATTCTCAACCTGGCTGATGATACAAGCAGGCTGCAGATTCTTAAGGGACAAGCTGCACTGGCTTTCCAGCTTGGAACCCCAGGTCTTTCATACACAGACTAGAAATCCCTTTAGCCTGGATCCAGCACTTCCCCTCCTAGTTCAGTCTTTGTTCCTTAGGTGTTTCCAGAAGTCTTCTTGTGTGGGGAGTGAAGAACAACAGTTGACTGATATCACTCCTTACCTTATATAGCTTTAGCATATGGCCGGTACCCTTTGTTTCAAAACTTGATTGCCAGACCAGTTTGTGGAAAAATACTGACATCCCAAGATGGAGTCCAGAATCCTGTGGCCTGGTCACATGTCCTTGTAGAGTCATAGCAGCCATTACTTACAGGCTGTCTGGAGTGTTCTCAGGAAGGCTCACCAGGTGGGAGATAAACTTCTTCTAAGGCCTATTGTTTCCCCAATGGCTCATTGCCCTGAATAGGCCCTTCCCAACTAGCTATCTATACTGAAAGCATCTTGACTAGTGCTGTTACCCAGGTATAACTACAACTGAAGTACAGATACATTGCCAATATTTTTAACTTCAGATACAAAAATGGTACATGCATACAAATAGGATAAACATATTCAGCAAATCATAACTTTTCCAATGACACCTTACATGACCCATCTTGCATAAAATATATCATAATTATGTTATAATCATATAATAATAATATCACTATGAAGAATATGGGGTGAAGTGTCACAATAATATTGTGCTTACTCTTTGTTTTCAGCCTTAAAAATACAAACAAAATCAGAAAACTCATAAACCAAGGAATTTATTCTTTTGTCAGTGCTTGGGAGGTTTATGTTCTGAACAACTATTGGCATTAGAGCAATAATTTCATTCATAATGAGGCGTGCTTTGGTATGACATTGATACATGGAATGGATACAAGAGCCTTTAACCACCCAGGACATGCACCAACAGTGCACTATTGCCCATCTCAGCAGGGCTTGTTGTTCCTAGAGTAGGACCCCATCATTTGACTGTACTGTAGGCCAATAGACCCACTGCTCTGTTTCAAAACCTGGTCCCCAACTGGACCAAGAGAAAGTTTTCTACTAGGGCAGTCTCAGTCCCCTTCCTCCTGCTGCCTCCCCATTATGTTCCAATTCTGATGAGGCAGGACTGCTTCTAGTGGGGAGAGAGAAATACAGTCTTCAAGCCCATCCAGTCCTTGGACTCTTTTGAGACTACAAACAAAGGGCCCAATTAGTATCAGCTGAGATGATGGGTTTTACATTTATCTACTAGGAATAGGTCTGAGAGCCATCAAGTCATTTAACAAATGCCATTAAGCAGCCATCAAATACATTTAGTTTTCAAGTTTCCAATGGCAGTTCTTACATAGAAAGAGCAGGCAAAGAGCACCATCAAACTGGAGCCAAACAAAGTCTCTCTCCTGAATCCTACACCATGATGACTCCAGAACCCTGGGGGCCTGATTTAAAGCTCACTGCAGTCAACTGAAAGACTCCCCCTGACCTCTATGAGCTTCGGCTCAGTCTCCTAACTCACCATTCTATGATTTTTGAGATGAAAGCATGTTACTGTGCTGAAGCGGTCAGGGAGCATTTATGGTGAGCTGACCTGTGTCCCCTCATAAAAACTTCTCCCTGATGTGTGATAGTCCTAGACAAGTTTAGTTTTGAAATGGTGTGTATTTAATCCCTCTCCACTACCTGATAGAGTATTTTCTCAGCTTTCTTTTTACCTCATGTGGTCATCATTGTAGTAGATCAAGATAAATTAAAACAGGATCTTGTAAAATGTCATAACATGCCTGAAATATTGTGAGAGAAGGGAAAGGAAATCATTTAACTGATTTATTAAAACATCTTCTTTAAAATCTGCCTACAATAAACTTTCATTTATTGGATACTCAACTTTGAATTTTATGTGTAGCCTGTCTCAATGAGTTAGATGAAAGCTAGATTAATATGAGTCCTGATAAAGCTGGTACATATTTGTCAGTCACAAACACTTATTTGAAAAGGACACTAAAGTCATTTTTCTATGAATACGTATTCTCACCTAAATAATTCCCTCGATAATTACATTTAAAGAATTTTTAAAAATCATTTTTAGTAATTCTTTTTGTTTATATTTCATTCAGTTTGGACAATTAAAATAGACTGGTCAGTTTCACCTTTCCTTACTACTCACTCTCACTTTCTGGTTCTCATTCATTAGCCCAATGAGGGGACTTTTTAGGTGGCAAATGCTACCCAGCAATATTCAAATCTGTCCAACATTTTAATTTTAATTAGATTTTTAAAAATTAAGTCAGGAAACATTCTATCATTATGATGTGTACAGCTGGTCAGAACATTTATGACCAAATGTGTTTTCATCGAAATATGCTATTTGTTAGAAGCTGAAACATTTCATGGAGACTTACTGATTTCAGGGATGTTTTTATGGAAAGTTTTCTTAGGTACAGGCACTCTGGTCATTGATCTGATGAAAGAGAATGAGAGAGAGAGAGAGAAACAAAAAATCTAACTTTTTTACTTGAAAAAGGATGTTTTGACACAATTCTGTTTCATGAAAACATTGGAAAGGTTTTGGCTTTGTTCCAGTGAGGAATGAAAACAAATTTCAAACCTTCAAAGTTGCCATGAAACAGAATTATCAGTCTCTGGCCTGGTGTAGTGGCTTATAAAACTTAGAAAGATTTTTTTGAAGAAATCTAAATTTATGACTGAAACTGTCTGACCCTTTAGACTGAGCATCATTAACCATTTTGACTTTCTCTTTTCCTCAGCAACACTTGCCTTCATATTGTCATATAACCACATCCCTATCTCCTTCGCAATGGACTTCATTTTCTTGTGGACAACATCTTCTAGAGGAACAAGCATTTAATCCATGAAAATGTCAATGTGTGTGCAACATTGCCCTGACCGGTTAGCTTTTGTCACAATGTCTTTCTTTATCCAGAAATCATTGATGCCCTGGTAGTTCTAGGTTTTGGTAGGTGGAAACCACAGGTTAAAAGTTGCTGATTCTGGATTCTCATGCCAATAAACTGTCAGGGAGCAGTTAAAGAGTGGTGCTTCATCATTTTCGGCAGCATCTCTATCAACTAGTTTAGGAGCAGCACTGACAAATTTTCAAGTCAGTTTCATCTTGTCCTTTTCCCTTAATAGAGTGGTATTTCTAGTCATCTAATTATAGATTTGGTAGTTGAGAATCCTGGATTGTAATCCCAGCTCTCACACAAATCCCTTCTGAGGTTTAAGGGAAGTCACTTAAAATCTCTGACTCATTTTCTCCTTCTGTAAAACAGGGATAATAATTGCCATTCTCACACGGTTGTTGTGAGAGTTAGCTAAGGTTTGTAAATCACTGCGGGGTGGTGGTGGTGGTAAAGCACCGAATAAAAGGATGGTAGTTACAGTGGGGTGTCTTAAGGGACATGGGTGAAAACAGATGGGAAACCCTCAGGATAACGAAGGAAGCACATAGACTTTGTGTGTCTGTAATGTCTGTAACATAAATCGCTGGGTTAGGAGACCAAAAATATCATTTAATAAAAACAAGGCATCCTACAATGAACCTCACTTTCCCATATTTATTCCTCTCTAAACACAGCAGCACACAGATTATAGGAAATGGTTTTACATTTAACTTCAACCGCAAGTGGTGAAGAAATGGATTGTATCTCACAACATAAATTTGCATCTACCATCATTTAGTGGACGTTTTATACATGCTATGTACTACTGTGTTTTTATGGAAGGCAAAAAAAATGAATTACTTGGGAATTTGTTTTTAATTAAGCAATAAGGCTCAATGGGGTACTGCTATCATGCAATAAAACCACTCCTGGGGTGTTGTGAGGCATTTGGTCCAGCTGAGTGCCTCAAATCACCCCCAGATTGTGATTAGATGATTACTCCCTGGAGTTAATATTACATGGTTCTCTCTAGAGTTGTCTTATTGCTATTATAAAAAAAGGCTTTGATGTGGGGGAACTAAGTAGCTTTTGTGCTTGAAGAAGATGAAGTTGGCAGTTTAGACTGTTGAGCAGCATGTCTGAGCTCTATGGCTTCCATAGATCAATTCACCTATTTAATATGCTTGAAAGACAATCACAATGCATTCCCTTGATCCAAGCAGATTTACAATTAAGTGACTTTTTTTCCCCAGAAGGTGGAAGGATGCAAAGAGATAAACATCTCCAAAATAAAGCTATCCCAAAACAAGGGTCTGAGGTATTTGATCCTGAGATATGTATTACTGGCTTTACTCCCTTGCAAAGAATAAATGAATCCTAATCAGTATTATGCTAATTGTATTAATGAAGGCTAATGCATGCAGTAGTAGCAAGAAATTCTCCCAAGCTGGGTGCATTATGAGGTATGGAGCCTAAGGCATTAAAGGAAGCTCCTGTTAAAGAAATTCAACAGCCAAAAATGTGTACAGGCAAACTAATGGGAGTGCCCTTTACAAATATTAGCAAGGTGGGTGAGGTGGGGAGGCTTGAAAAGGAAACATCTTATTTTGAATCGAAAGTGATGTCTCTCGCGGACATCTCAATACACCAGAAATAGAAATATCTGAAAACATGAACTCACACAGACCCCGTTCCTCTCCTCCAAGGGGGTGGACAGGATACTAAAGCATGCACAGAGCGTGCAGGTTGTCTTTTGGAACTGGAATGCAGGGAAGATGTCCCACCAGCTCTTGGGACATATGCACAGTCACGGGATAGATGTCCCATCTTTGGTCTCAGAAAATACCCTCTTATCCAGTGAGAGGATGCCATGGGAACTCGCTGAGCTCCCTAGAAAACTTTTTCCCTTCCACATGCTTTTCTATGAGAGGGGTGATTTGGCCCTTGGTCAAAGAATACTCACTTTGCTGATAGAACAGGTCTGTCCGCCTGGAAGAGGGGGATGAATGGGATAGTTCATTGTAGTCTTTCCTATTGAATCTAGCTGAACAGAACAGCCAGCATACAGGGGCTTCCTTCTGAGCAGGTAAAAGGAGCTAAGCCCAAATTTATAAAAATAATATAAAGGCACCAGTACATTAAGGGCCTTAGTCTCATTTACACTAAGGCCCCTTGGCTGTCAGAAGTTGAAACTGGACAACATGAGGCAGCTCACTCGATAAACTGCCCTGTTCTGTTCATTCCCTCTGAAGTACCAGACACTGGCCACGGTCAGAAGACAGGATACTGGGCTAGGTGGATCAGTGGTCTGACCCAATATGGCCATTCTTATGTACATCACTCTAGCAGCATGAAGGGGTCTTAAACTGGGCATAAATGTAACTAACACTCACTTTATGGCCCCTTTACACTGCCAAAGTGGTGTAAAGGGTCCTTAGTGTAATTGAGAAGCAGGCCCCAAGGGTCCACTATGCCTGGTTACCTTACTGCACCTACTCACCTTTCCCCAGCAGATTACAATGGGCTCTGCATACAGTAACATTGGTGGTTTAAGGAAGGAGTCAGGGGACTCTTTTGGGTACATAGGGTTATTTTTGCACTAAAAATCAGTTGCAGTTCTTGTAAACATACGAAGCCCTGAAAATTCAAACATTTCAATTACCGCTGTTCTAATATTACACCAGACTTTTAATTCTAGGTGTAAAGATTGGTGCTGAGGTTCTCTTGTACGGCTTGGAATTTCAGTTCAATCCAGATACACACCCACAAGTTTGCTTCTTCAAACCTTAACCAACCTTCCCTGCCTATAGAAATCCCTTTTCCCTCTCTCACAGGCAGCTCTTTTACTCCTCGAGACTAAGATGTGATCCTCTATAGCTTTCCTCCTCACTCAGATCGGCATAACACTCCCATAGCCGGCATAACCTACCACCCCCTCACCTCCACAGCCAGGCTGACAGAGATTCCATTTGTCCAGGAGTCCACAAATCTCCTCCTACCTTTAAAGATGTATCGTGGGGTGCTCCTTGACCTTGGCAGTGCCACATTTCATACCGGCGGCATCACACCCAACTAGAGCTTTGCTCTTAGGGTTACCAAGATGTCAGCAGGGCACCTTGAGCGTGTGGTCACTTTTCCTGTGTTGTACTCTCTGGACCTGTCAGAGCTCTTTGCACATATGCTGTGTGCACAAAACTTAGTCGAGTGCTGTGGGAATGTGCAGCCCTCCTCTCACCTTAACACAGAAAAGTGGGCGTTGTGTGGGCCCTCTTCCTGAGATTAATTTTACCTTCAATGTGTGAGTTTCTTACTCAGTGCTGTCACTGGGAGGGTGCAGGGCCTTGGACACCCCCCACTCTTTCCCAGGTCTCACCACCACTCCACAACTTCCCCCAAGCCCCAGCCTCTTCCAGCCCCTGCCCCACCCTACCTCTTCCCGCCCCTGCTCTGCCCCATCTCTGCCCCCATTCCACCCCTTTTCCCAAGCCCCCGCCCCTTTCCTACTTCCGTCCCCTCCCCTGAGCGATGCCCAGAGCCGGCAGGACGGGCTGGAGCGGGGTCACTCTCTACTGCTGGCGCCAGAGCCCCTGCTAACCCCCCAGACTGCTCTGGACCCCGCGTCCCAAAGCACAGGGCCCGGGGCGGTTGCCCCGATCTGTCCTATGGATGGCACAATTCTGCTCTTACTCTAACTCTCTTCTATCTTCTACATTGCTGCCATTAAAAACCTGTGGCTGACCTGTGCCAACTGACTCAGGCTCACAGGGCTTGGGTTAAGGGCTGTTTAATTGCGGTGTAGACAGTTGGGATTAGGCTGGAACTCTGTGAAGAGGGAGGGTCCCAGAGCTTGTGCTTCAGCACAGGCCCTAATGGCTACCCTGTAATTAAACAGCCCCTTCACCTAAGCCCTGCGAGCCTGAGTCAGCTGGCATGGGCCAGCCATGGGTATCTAATTGTAGTGTAGACGTAAACTGAGGTAAAGAGAGACTAGAAATACATTCACCACATAAGTAAAAGGCATATCAACAGGCAAAGTGAGGTTTTTGAATGAAACTTTTTATGTGTCTCTGAATAATCAGTCAATCACAGGTGAACACATTTAGAAGTTTTTAAATTAAGTGATTATTGTCGCACTCTTGTACCCTGTTCTGGGTTGTGGGGTTTTTTCAGTTTTAATATTTGAATGCCTAATCTACCCAAGTTTTAGTGTTTGAAATACCTAATCGTTCATCATGATTTACCTTGTGCAATAAAAGCACACACTGAATATGAGATCACTGTTTAAATAAAATAGCAACACCGAGGGAAAAGAATTCAGAACAGGAACATGCACAGAATTACACTAGCTAAGCTTGGCGACTAAAGCCAGAAGATATATACTTGCAGACAGTCCAGCTAAATTGTATCAACCTTTTTTATACACTAGTCTTTTCCTCACACCTATTTTACATGCTGAGTTTATTTAGCACTGAACACAGTGATCATATCTCACAGTTCTAGCAAATTCATCACTCTTTTTCTTTTCTATACCCTTTCATCTCAGTGTTTCTGCAGAGGCTGGTCATGGGAAAGGGTCATTACTGGGCAGAAGCATCAACAAAAAGGCAGTCCTGGCATTCGGAGCTGGATACTGTCAGTCGAGGGCTCAGTCTCAGCAGTGGGCTCACACAATTAAGGGCATTCTGCCCCAAACACCTGACAGTTTTATCCTGGGATTTCCTAGTTACCTTGGCACAGATCCTCAGAGGTATTTTGGCTCCTAACTTCCACTGAAACCAATAGGAGTTAGGCACCTATATACCTTTGAGAGTCTCTGAGACATTGTCCCTGTGGAGCTCAGCTCTCTCAGAGGATTACGGGATATTTGAGATAACCAGCTTCAAGCCTGTTTAGGCCCTTCTGGATTAAATCAATAACTTTGATTCCAGTCAGAAAATGAACAAGAAGCCTCTGACCTGCAGCTATGTTTACATCTGCCTTTGCTGCTCAAAGAGCAATCTGC